TACTGTACTAATTTGATGCAGTTTCCTCTTTCCAGACCTGCTTCTGATTACCTATGACTTTCTCATTGATTCAATTTATTACCTGGGCATCTTCACATTTAGTACTATAAAAAGTAATGAAGTCTACTATAATGCATACACTGTCAAGAGGGTTTATTGCTAAAGCTTCAAAATACTTTAATTCATCTATTTTAACACTATTCTTTCCATGTTTATTCACTGATTGTTAATCTTGATACAGTAATTTTTCCCCTTGCACCTTTTTTTTTTGTAGATATCCAACAACAGCTGAGTATACTGAGGTAGCCAGAGCTAGTTACCAAATTTAAGATCTTAGAAGATAAATCTGGAAATTCAACAGGACGTGTAAGCCATGTTAAAAATTTTACATAATGAAAAGACACATTACAGCAAAAAAAAAAAAAATTGAGTCAAATTCTGGGGTAGATTAAGGGTGATTTCAAGCATGATGTCATCAAGGTATTTAGACTTTGTGTATCAGAACATACAGTACATTGTAATAATGCTTAAGTACCGTAGCTACTGCCATTTAGTATAATTAATAATTGTATGCTGTCGTCTGAACAAAATAAGAGTTAGTCAGACAGATGAAATAACATGCAAAAGGGAATTTTTGTACTCGCATATAACTCTATGACTCTTTATTGTAGTCTCACAATAGAGATGTTGGTGCTTCAAATTCTTTGATTCAGCCCAATCAGCTTATAGCTTTTTGGGAAAGCACATACAATTGGAACAAAAAGTAGATTTATGTTATAAGATTACATTGATAATGTAAAATATGGTATAAGGCCTATCTACTTCATCCCAATCACCTTATTTTCAGGTAAAAGTCATATACTGGTACAAATACGGCACAGAACTGAACCTTTAAAGTGGCACTGTCCCTTAGAAAATTGTAAAATCATAAAAAATCGAATTAAAAAATTACTGTACTATGTACACATAATGTAATCACCTTAAAGATGAAACATATCGTAAACCACAATAGTTATTATAATATAACAATATCAAATACAATAAACAATAAAATTGCTAAAAGCAAATGTAAGAATTCTCATACTCAAATGTTTGAATATTGAGTTTTAGTATATGTGTGTCATGGTAAATGTTTTTTCCGATTGTCGAAGTGACAGTGCATCTTTGAATTTTTGAGATGATATTTTCCCTATTTGGCATCTTAGGATAATATGTCAGGAGAAAACCAAGCCAGCATCAAGCATGTAACAGATTTAATGGACCTTTCAAAGAAGTGTAACCCAGACCAGAACATTATGCCCGATAAACCAGAGCGTACAAAGGAATATCGTTTAAAATATATTGCCGAGCACTCTGTGAAAGACGTGTTGGAGAAATTTCCTTTTCTTAAACTAGAAAATGAGGTAATAATTAAATATCCAAATCAATTATGTAACATGTCAATAATGATTGAGACAAATAATTACATAAAAAGGAATGTAAGTGGCCTATAGTTATTGAGAATATAATGCTAGGGGATTACACTTTTCCCATCTACTATTAAAGCTTTGTTCCACTTAAAAAGAAGCAGAACTGGCATTATTCATGAAGGAAATGCTTTTTCAGAACTCTTGTATTCTTCCTCATGGAAATACCAGTACCATTTTAAAATTACAATATGGTGAATTATTTCATGGAGAGAATAAAAAAAATATATATAAAAAAGCCAATTTTTTTTTTTAAGGTAGAGATTTATTTTATACTAGAAAAACTGTAACATATCCAGTGAATAGATGATGCATTATATTTGTCCTCTAATCATTAATTGTTATAACTGACCATAGAAGTGTTTGTCATATTAGTTAAGTAATACGTTTTTATCCGAATAAACATTTGAAGTGTTTAATGCTGCTTTGTTTGTGCTTTTATTTTTGACACAGGTGAAATGGTTAATGGTTAATGGTTATTAATTTATAGAGCGCAAAATACAAAAAGTCTCTAAGCGCTATCAGGCAAGTGTAAAGATGGAACGGAAACCAAAACCACAAAATAAAAAGAAGTGAAATTTGAATACCATGCCAGCACCCAAACCGAAGTATGGGGATACGCCCTCATCACTGGCTAGGGTTCAATCTAATTGAACTAGTCAGCACCTGTTGAG